GTTACACTTTTCCATAAGACAGTGACTACTTTTGGTGACTGTGTACATTTTAGGAATCATTTGTTCCTATAAGTCATACTATTTTATATGAAATTTACAATGTGCAAAATGTAGCACTATGTACCATGTTGTAGTAAGTATGGTATTCATGAATTTATCAGGGCTGACTTAACCTTTATCACTCTTTTTGTCTCAAATTCAACCCCTTTAATTTTCATTAATATTACTAATGCCTTAGAAGTACAATGACGAGCTTATTTTCTTATCTGTCCTTGAGGTAATGGGTACAGAGTGGCAGAGCAGTAATGTTCATGTGTTTTCACCTTGACCTTCACACCTTGACATTTATACCTAGTACATACATTGCCTGGCATGTACTAGGTACCAAGTACACACCATTCACCTTTCAGTAAATTGCTCACTGAATGATAGTAACTAACTTTATGGAGGCTGGACCATGTCCTCAAGTGTTGTGGATTCTGTAGGACCATAACAGCTCTGAGAAGGCGGCGCTATGTCTGGGACCAGGGGACACAAGCAAATGCATGCAAAGAGGTAGATGTGTTGGCCTCACTGCACAGGTCCCTACATTCCAGCCAAACTTGAAGCTATGAAGGGTGTCCCCTGAGCTCAGGCTCGTGGATACTCTAATACGCGATCCCTCGCTTACTGAACACAAAACCAAACAGAAAGTTCAGGAATAGGGGACTGAAGTTCTTCGAACTCAGAAATCCAGGCCCACCAGCTTTCACTGCCCAGGGATGAGAAGGTATATGATTTCAGACAGAGGCACGCAAATAAGTGCTGTTGCAAATTGTTAGCAATTGTTAGTGTACCAGGGATACTGAAGGACAGCTAACAACAGAACATGTGCTCCAGCAGCCCCACGAAGCCACCAAGCAAGGCGCTACATGGGTCCTGTGTCCAGAAGCAGCTGTTGTGTTCAAAAGGAATCAAGGTGGTTTCTGGCCTGGCAGTAAGCCTGAGCTGCAGGTGCAGAGAGTGGGTTGGCAGCCTGTTTGACCTACTTAACAATTTTGAATTTACAGATGGTTTCCAGGCCCCATATCACTAAGAATTAAATAATTAAAAGCAATATGGGCTTTGGAACAAGATACTATTTTAAAGGAAATCATACTAAGGCTTATGTTAATTAACTGTCCATTAGATACCACCAGAGTGGTGGAAACGGTGCTCATGCACCTGAAGAGCTGTGTACTTAACTACCTGGGTATGTTTTACCTTTATCACTCATCTAGAATTTGTGTGCACATATTTTTCTCACTCAACCCATTGCTTTAGGACCCTAAAGTCTGTTACAAGTCTCTACTTCTTCGGTCCTTTAGCGAGACGATGGACTATGTATTTTTTTCTTATTGTTAATTTTTATTTTTGTTGATACCTGTGTGTAGTACATAATAATTACTTTCAGCATGATAAATTGATACATTCAAGCACGTAACACATCTCAAATAGCACTGCATAGAGTACCCTCATTAGTGAATTTGTGTTTCAGAAGGAAGGAATTAATTATCTTACTATTATGTTACTTTCATAGAGGAGAAATGAATTATTGATAGTAGGGTCAATATTTACAACTGTTAGATCAAAACATTTAAGTAAAAATAAAGTGAAGACAAATGGAACTCCATAGTTTTGGATTATAGTGAGTGATATCAACGAAACACATTGTTCACAATAGGTAGATGGGTAGTGAGGCTAAAAATGATAAATGTAGCATGTATACTCTAGTACATAGCAATAGTAATAGATATTATATCTTTGATTCAGTTTACGCTATCTTAACAAATGATCAAATTAGATTTCTTTTTCTTTAATAACTTTATTGAGAAACAAATAGCAATGAGACAGTTTCAAAACTGATTACTAGCACAGTTTCAATAATTAATATATTGCACATTTTTGTCTTAGTGGTTATTCATTGTACAAAATGCAGACATGATATCCTTTCAAAATACACTATTAAAACAAATCCGTCTATCCACTAAATTAAGAGAATGCAGCTGTATATCTATCCTAACTATTTTGAGTATACAGATACAAAGTGATCCTTCATTTGTAGCCCCCTTTTTTGAATAGTTTTGTCAGAGAAGGGCATGCCATTGTCATTTAAATATTGTTGGTGAGTGACTTCGGCAAAATATTCCAACAGAGCCCAGTAGTGCATAATAGTAGTGTGTTTTCTGTAAGACTGGCAATGCCAGAAGTCATTAACTTCATTAACTTGAGCCTTTT